GAAGACTAGGAGGGGCCCGGGAGCGACAGGGCCAGACCCAGCCCAGGCACGGCCGGGCCGCAGTCACGCAGAGGCGCGCCCCCCGCGCCCCCCAAAACGCCCAAGCGCAGTGGCAGGGCGTGCCAGCGAAAAGGCGTGTGCGGAGGGTGCCGGAACGGCAGTTTCGGAACCCGTTAGGAAGACTAGGAGGGGCCCGGGAGCGACAGGGCCAGACCCAGCCCAGGCACGGCCGGGCCGCAGTCACGCAGAGGCGCGCCCCCCGCGCCCCCCAAAACGCCCAAGCGCAGTGGCAGGGCGTGCCCAAAAAGTACCAAAAATGGAGCGAAAAGGCGCGTGCGGAGGGTGGCGGAACGGCAGTTTCGGAACCCGTTACGAAGACTAGGAGGGGCCCGGGAGCGACAGGGCCAAACCCAGCCCAGCACGGCCGGGCCGCAGTCACGCAGAGGCGCGCCCCCCCCCCAAAACGCCCAAGCGCAGTGGCAGGGCGTGCCCAAAAGTACCAAAAATGGAGCGAAAAGGCGTGTGCGGAGGGTGGCGGAACGGCAGTTTCGGAACCCGTTAGGAAGACTAGCGCAGAGGCGCGCCCCCCGCGCCCCCCGAAACGCCCAAGCGCAGTGGCAGGGCGTGCCCAAAAGTACCAAAAATGGAGCGAAAATGCGTGTGCGGAGGGTGTGGCGGAACTCGGCAGTTTCGGAAACCCGTTAGGAAGACTAGAGGGGCCCGGGACGACAGGGCCAAACCCAGCCCAATCGCCCAAGCGCAGTGGCAGGGCGTGCCCAAAAGTACCAAAAATGGAGCGAAAAGGCGTGTGCGGAGGGTGGCGGAACGGCAGTTTCGGAACCCGTTAGGAAGACTAGGAGGGGCCCGGGAGCGACAGGGCCAAACCCAGCCCAGGCACGGCCGGGCCGCAGTCACGCAGAGGCGCGCCCCCCGCGCCCCCCGCGCCCCCCGAAACGCCCAAGCGCAGTGGCAGGGCGTGCCCAAAAGTACCAAAAATGGAGCGAAAATGCGTGTGCGGAGGGTGCCGGAACGGCAGTTTCGGAACCCGTTAGGAAGACTAGGAGGGGCCCGGGAGCGACAGGGCCAAACCCAGCCTAGGCACGGCCGGGCCGCAGAAGCGCAGTGGCAGGGCGTGCCCAAAAGTACCAAAAATGGAGCGGCGGAACGGCAGTTTCGGAACCCGTTACGAAGACTAGGAGGGGCCCGGGAGCGACAGGGCCAAACCCAGCCCAGGCACGGCCGGGCCGCAGTCACGCAGAGGCGCGCCCCCCGCGCCCGCAATGGCAGGGCGTGCCCAAAAGTACCAAAAATGGAGCGAAAAGGCGTGTGCGGAGGGTGCCGGAACGGCAGTTTCGGAACCCGTTAGGAAGACTAGGAGGGGCCCGGGAGCGACAGGGCCAGACCCAGCCCAGGCACGGCCGGGCCGCAGTCACGCAGAGGCGCGCCCCCCGCGCCCCCCAAAACGCCCAAGCGCAGTGGCAGGGCGTGCCCAAAAGTACCAAAAATGGAGCGAAAAGGCGTGTGCGGAGTTTCGGAACCCGTTAGGAAGACTAGGAGGGGCCCGGGAGCGACAGGGCCAAACCCAGCCCAGGCACGGCCGGGCCGCAGTCACGCAGAGGCGCGCCCCCCGCGCCCCCCGCGCCCCCCGAAGCGCCCAAGCGCAGTGGCAGGGCGTGCCCAAAAGTACCAAAAATGGAGCGAAAAGGCGTGTGTGGAGGGTGCCGGAACGGCAGTTTCGGAACCCGTTACGAAGACTAGGAGGGGCCCGGGGGCGACAGGGCCAAGCCCAGCCCAGGCACGGCCGGGCCGCAGTCACGCAGAGGCGCGCCCCCCGCGCCCCCCGAAACGTTCAAGCGCAGTGGCAGGGCGTGCCCAAAAGTACCACAAATGGAGCGAAAAGGCGCGCGCGGAGGGTGCCGGACGCGCAGTTTCGGAACCCGTTACGAAGACTAGCGACGGTGGAGCGAGAGGCGCAGGCACGCACGCGATGAGACTTTCGGCGGCCCTTCGATGAGACCTTCGGTATCCCAGGCGCCGCCCCGCCAGAGCACGCTCCTAGGCGGGGTCGGCGGGTTTTCCTCTTAAGGAGGGGAGAAAAAAAGACAAAAACGCATTCGCGTTGGACAACTAGATGTGTTGTTTGTTTTCATTCTGGCCATTCCAGTCGCAGTGAGTATGTTCCTTGGGCGCAAGTGACAGGACCGGAGGCGTTTCAGCCGGCAAGGCCCAAACCAGAACCAGGGTTTTGCTCAGTTCTTGCAGTTCGTGCCCCTCTTTGGGCCGTTTTTTTTGGGGGGGAAAACCATGAGGAACGCCCCACGCCCCGCCATGAGGTATGGAGGTTTTTCCGAAAAATGGACTGAACGAATGACGCAATGGACCCATCCAGGTAGCTTTTCAAATCCAGGTTCCTCTGTTCGACCACTCTTGAGCTCTTGGTTCATCCCAACCCGAGAACAACAGGTCCTGGGAATCTGCTGTTTTTGAGAGGAAGGTCCAACAGGTCATCGGTACTTCGTCTCGGAAGTCTCGTTTTGGCCGGGATATGATTGGTTTGATCTGAGATTTGAAAAAAAAAATGCTGCCCAACTTGCATCTTCCGGCACTTTCTTGTTTGGTCTTCACCATTTGAAGGGCCAACACTTTGGATTTTGTTGGGCCGCCACACTCAGGAAGCAAGAAAAAAAAAGAGGAGAAGCATAGGGGTCCACATTTGGGTTTTGAGACCATGGCACATGGGAGTTTTGACCATGGCAAATCATTGAGCAGCACCTCGAGGAGAAGTTCACGTCTTGCAAAACAATGGGTGAAAAGAGCTACGGGTTGAGCACAGAAGATGATTCGGCGTCGCTCGTGTATTTGTGAATTGCCGCTGGTGAAGGATGTGCCAAGCCTGGTTCATGGGCTGTGCAGCGGACATGGGGCCATGCTAGCTTATCGGCTCGAGCTCGGTCAATGTAGAGCCATGCGCTTTGCCGTGCACTTATTGAGAGTTGAGGTCACAGGTTCTGACAAAAGATTTTGACAAAAGGGTGGGGTTGGGTGATTAATACATCGTGGGTCGTCCCCTCATCTCATTTTAGAGTTGTCTGCCAGTGGTCGGGGACTCGAAACATGGGTCATTCCAGAAGCTCGTTTTCCAGTTAGTTTCCCTTTTTTCAAGCATCCAAAAGCAGCTGTACTATCAAACACAGACACACCCACCCAGCAAATGTTGGGAAGACTCATGCAGAGGCCCTTGTCCACTTCCATGATTGGACAACAGGTTCTTGTAAGGAGCAAAACGACCACTTCTGACCTCCACGTCAATATTTGAGAAGCCTCTTCGCCATCCACATCCACATCTGCAACGGTACTTGTTGGTTTAGTTTATTCAAGACTCGGATGCCCGAGAGTCCATCGGCTGGCATGAAGTATGTTAAGTGGGGGGGGGGGGGTGAATTTGGGCAAGAAACAGCATCAATCCGGTTTCGTTTGGGATGGCTTTCAGGGGTGTACCAAAAGAACATGGTGCAACGGGTCCCCAAAATAGCTGGTTTGTCTGCTTTTTGTTCCCCCCCCAGTGACTCAGGGTTTAGGGTGTCTGGACAGGGGTCACTGGATTTCCCCCTTCAAAAGTTTGCCAATTGACTGGCGGCTTCCATCCAAAAAAGGACACGGGGGACTTTCCTGCTGAACAGATATGAACAAGGGAAGGGAGTTTCCTAAGGGGTGACCCATGTTCCTCCCATCCCATTTTCACCCAATCCCAGCCGCGAGTGCGGCTCGAGGTTGGGGCGCTGGCGCTGCGCCTCATTCTGGCAAGCGGTTGGGGCCCCAGTCCGGGGGATTGGATACATACAGGGCTAGGTCCAGCTAGCTGCCCTTGGACCGTTTTGTTTTTTTGGGGGAGGGTGAACCCCTACAGAAAAAAAGGGTGCCCTTGTTCTAACCTCTCTACTGGAGGAGCTAGAGGGGCTGGAGGATGACTAAGACAATATATGGGCGTGGGTCAAAATTCTTCACCACCAGGAGCATGCAGGTTGTTCATGTTTATATCTATCAGGGTTGCATTTTGGGTAGCTATTCTTAACCCACAGCCATATCAGGGTAATACAATGCTACTCCTGGACCCATGACTAAGCCTGGTCTGAAGTGTCCCAAAACTCTGTTCCAATCATTTGGGGGTTCTGGCGTCTGTCCCAGAAGCGCATGCGGGTTTGTGTCCATTCCTTTGAAACCACCCCTGGTCGCCCAGGCCCAATGACCAAAATGTGATGCGCCGGTGCTGAGTAACAGACAAGTTATTTCGTAGTTTGTTGTTGGTTGGGGGTCGCATTTCGCGGCAAAACCCAGACCTAGTCGTGCCGGGTCCTGAGTTTGTGGGTCAACCAGCAAACCAGATGTATATAAACCTATATCACATTTTGGCCCTCCAATGAAATTATTTTGATGCGACATAATTGTTTTGAATCCAAGGATATCCTAGGGTCGGTTCGTGACCATTCCCACTCTTCTTTTTCCAATAAGGGTGTATTCCTTTTGGTATATTTGGGTGTTGTGGACCATGCTTGTGGGAAATTGGTTTTAGGGCCACACTTTGGGTTACGTCAAGGGATCTCTTGTTTGTTGCTGTAAAGTAGTCAGAGGGACGCGGTGTTGACACCTTGCCGAATGGCAACTTTCTATGGCAGGTAACCAAAGGAACCTGCAACAAGGAACATGACCGGTTTACCTGCGGAACTGGGTTGCACTGGGTCTACTGGGGTCTCACTATTTTTGAAACATGTTAGGGTAGAGTATGAAAGAGGGCCAGAACATGTGTTGCTGACTTTGGAATGGAGTTAGAACATATCTTTTGTGTACCCCAGATGTGGGCCGCGTAAAAAATCACACGCCTTTCGCCTCAGTTTCTTCGAGCCGAGCCGGCGGAAAGCCGCCTTTCAGGAAGCGCCCCGGACGTCAATGAGGCGAGCGAGATCGAGATCGTGGATCCAATTCCCTGGGCCCCGTGGCGTCTTGTGGGGACCACCAAACGGAGTCCGGTGTTCCTGTAGGCTTCCCTTTAAGCTGATCGGGAAAAAACACCCCCAAATGGCGGACCCTAGTTTAGTGGTCATTTCACAGGGGACCGTTGCCACAAGATGCCGTGATTTTGAGAAACACCCAAGTAGGACGCATTTTAATTTGCTCAGACATAGGGCCGTATGTTCCACTTTTGCTTTGAGGGGTTTCCCGTCGTCAACTAATCAAAAGAGTGCCGGTCCTTTGTTCCACGGCTAGTGGGGGCTCTTGGTTGGGTGTGTGTTTTTGTTGAGGGACCCTTTGCCCATTGCACCGCGGTTTGAATGGAATTTTAACTCAATTCTTCAAGCGGTACTCTTTTTGAATCCCGTTTGGGAGCCACTGTACTTGGATGCTCCAGGAGTTAGCTAAGTTTCGAATCCCCCATCACACTGGGACTTCCCCGTGCCATGGTCCGTCCCAAAGGCTTGCTTGTGGATGCCACAAATTGGGTACCCAACAGAATACTGGGCCAGAGTCCCTCAAACGCTAGAACTCAGTTAAAAGCACAGTGCTTCCGGTGTGTTGGAAGCATTGGAGCTGTAAACCTACCAATTCGGTGAGGGGCCCGGATTCGCAACGCCTTGTCTTGAGCCCGTGAAAGCGGACACATCTGAAGTGCCCGGACTCGGATCCAGTCCATCGGGTCGAGGGCTTGCCCGAAAACAGAGGCCTCCTTTTAGTCCGGAGGACTGTACTAGTCAGGGGTGGTCCCGTTTTTTTTTGGCGAGGAAGTTGCTTGATGTTGCTTGTATTTGTTGGGGGGTTCTCTGCCTTTGGATAAACCACCAAGTATAGGGCGCCCCGGCTCCATTTGAAGTGTCCCTCGAAAAAACGCCGTATACGCAGGCGTGGGCGGGGTGGTTCCAACGGCCGTCAGGTGGTGACAGAGGCGGTTCAGAAGGCCAAGGAGGCGCAACTTGCCTTTTGTTTTCCGGATCCCGAGGGGATCACAAGGGAGCATAGCCTTCATTGGTACCCTCCCACCCTTTTCACATGGAACCTGGCGTTCGGGGGTCTCAATCAAAGGAAAATGGTCCAAACCAGGACCCCGAAACGTCAGGTCCCAGGTTAATTGGTGGGAGAGTATTGGTGGTTTGGATTGGTGGTTTGGGGGAGTTGTTCCTTCTAGAGGGTAAACGGGAAATTGCCAGAACTCCCTTTTCACTGATTGGGCTCCATCAACTAGGGGGTTGGTCCTTGACGATTTGACAGGGTGATTTGGTCATGCGGTATTGGAAGCTACCAAGACACCCTTGTGTTGTACCTCTCATTCGAGGCCGAGCTTGGCTTGGACGGGTTCCGTGGAAACGTGTAGGGTAGGCGTGTTTCTTTGAACGGCGCTAGGCCGGACAGAAAGTGGTAAGGAAGAAACAAGGGGGTGGGGGTCCAGGTATCGTGTTTGTCTATTGCCTGGCGTTCAAGGTCTGTTCTACGCAGTCCACGGGCTGACCGGTTAAAGCGATCTCGCCCACTTGTTTTCCCGTTTGGCGGTCGTCTCAAGCTCTAAGCGTTCTGGTCGGTGGTGCTGGAGGTGTTTTAAGGTGTGGGAGTTACAGGTTGGCTTCAGTTCAATCAAGTTGTTCAACTGATCAAAACGGGGCGTGCACTTTGCTGCACATGTTTGTTCCTCTTGGAAAGGCAGACGAATGGAATCAACCCAGCTCACGCACCCTCCCTAGGTAGCAACAGGAATTTGATTTCCCAAGACACCCTGCTGGGTGCATTCCCTGTTTGCAACTATTTGTTTGGAGGGAGAAATGGTTAGCAGCACATCGCTAGGCCTGCTCCAAGTGCAAGGGACGCCTGTCCAAGTGCGCCACGTCCGGCCGTTTTTATAGAACTGATCCTTCCGGTGTTTCAACGGAAGGAAGGCTTTTCGTTGGCCACTCGTGGCTCGTGCTGTAACTCCCTTTGCCCAGGGAATAGGTGCCTACATTCCGTATACTTTCACACTGCTGATGGGCCACAATCAAAACCCAGGCAAGTGAAGGTTAGTAAGGGACGATCCCAGCCATAAATAGCTGCGGCCGCCTTCTTAGTTCTTCACATGGTTCTGGGTCGACATTTTTGTGCCGGGTTTTGATGGTGGCTCTGATGTTGTTTGTATATTTTAGGGTAGACTAAACATGAACAGAGTCGCAACATATTTCGTTGTCGTGGGCCAAGCCTCAGGCGTCAGACGCTGCGGGCGACGCCAGCGACGTGGCGCGCCGCGCTGCGAGCGTGCGCCCTGGCGCTCCGCGCTCCGCTGGCACGCGCGGAACGAGATAGAACGAGTATGAGATTCACTTCCCCAGTTCATAGTCTTTAGTCTCTGTGACCCTTGAAAACAGGGGTCATTACCCAAAATTAAGGGGTCATGGACCTTTTTGTTAAGGGTCATGGAGACTCTAGATAGTCTTGAGTCACTTTTTGGGACCACCAGTTTAGTGGTAAATAACCAGTGTTTTTTTTGGTGGCGAGAGTCCACTGAGAAAGTGAGGATATGTGTTTGTCAGTCCCTGCAAATTTGCATGGAAGCTATCAAGCACTGTTCAATCTGGTTTCTGTGTCCTTGTTTTTCTCTTTTTGGTAAGGCTTGAAGGACGTCCCTAGGTTTCAAGGGGAACCGGCAATATCTTTTCGGCGGACAAAGAACGGAGCTTCTGGGGGCAAAGAGTGGGCTCGAGCCAGGAAGCATCTGCAGCTTTTGCCCCAATTTGTGGTGCCCCTGCTGCAGTTTTTTTGGGGAGGGGGCCTTCCGATTGAAACCAACGACCCAAAAAGGTGCGCGAAAAGGATGACGGTCAACCACCAAAGATCAGCATCCTTCCTGCCCAGAGGCTCCTGGCTTCGGCTTTCAATGGAAGACCCGACCCCATCCATTAGACACCCCGGAGGAGTGGTTGGGGGTCTCAAAACCAGGTTGTTTGAACAGGGCTCCTAAAAAAAGATACATCTTTCCAATCTAAAACATGGCTTTTTCAACACCAAAATACAGGGAAGCCATCATGTACAAGGCAATGTTCAGGTGTATAATGTAAGGATCCCTGAAGGCCCTAAGTCAACCGGGAGCTGGGTGTGGAGAGTGCCACTTCGTGTGGGACATCCGCTCGATCCGAGGCCAGGTGCGGCAGTTGCAGGGCGAGCTGCCGCAGCTCTCCGCGAAGGCCATCGTCCGGAAAAAAAGAAAATCGGACGGGAGCGGTGGAAGTTCGTCGTTTCACCTGCGGTTTTTTTTGTTGACCCCGGATTCCTAAACCAGGACTCGTTTTGGCGAGGAGGGAGGGGGCATGAGGGCGAAACCCCTGGTTGATTCATATGGGGGTGTCCCTGGTTTTGGTGGGGATGTATGACTTTGAAGGGGAACACCCCCAGATGAATGAGCGGGGGTTTATGAATCCGGGGTCAACATTAATAAAGGGAAACCACCAAGAATCGTCTACTTTTTTTTTTGGATCCTCCAGTTTTTGGTGGGTCGCTTTGAGACAAACCTTTGCTCATGAGAGGCAATGGGGGGCCTACCCAGTATCCCCGACTTGAAGCAGTACGACAAAACGAAGGACGGAATCCATCATGGTGAAGAGAAAAACAATAACCGGAACATCCGCAAGCTGGCATTATTTTGTTTTGTGGCTTGCAACCCTGAGGCTTCGCAGGCTGGTAGGTCCGTACGTCGCAATGTATGGAAGGGGGTACATACCCAATCCAGATGTGGTTCAAGTTAGGTGTGGAAAAAAGGATGTAGTGGGCCGCAATACAGGGGCCCTTCCCCATTTGATTTTGTAAGTGGAGGGTAAATAGTTCATGGAAGGCGCGGACAACCCGACGTTTTGCCCAGTCAGGGTGGGGCTTCTGATATCATCCACGTAAATCCCATTTGCCACAGGTCTCCAGAAAGTGTCCATTGCTTGCCTATAGTGTGGAAGAATGTTCTTTGCGGACTACCACAAGGTGTTGGGGGACCCTGTTTTTGAGGTTGTGAAGGAAACCTGAATTCAAAACCAATGAACCACTGGAAGAGACACAAGCTGGCAGCTCAGCGACGCAGACCACGACCACAATGGCTCTGAAAAGAGACACTCGGGAGAGGGTTGGGCTTCTCAGCATTGCTGACATCAAGAGTTGGTCAACTTATCATGTGAGGCGACTGATAGCAGTTCACCCTTCTGACGCACTTTGAATCCAACTGTTCATAGTCTGATGTAAGTGTGCATAATCGACTCCCGAAGTCTTGGATTTAAGGTCCAAGCACCAACTTGGAACAACCAGCACAACCAGTCAACCCGAAAAATAATTCCCTCCTTCTACCAGAGTGACTGAACTGGGCTTGAACCCAAGGCTTCCAAGCAAACTAGCTTTGCCCACTTAGAATCACCCGCTTTAACTTCCATTTGCTCAAGAGTATGTGCAATGTTCCCCGGATGGTTTTAAAAGGAATATATCTCCGCTGCAATGGACATATTTTCCAGGGGACTTAAGCAAATGGAAGTTAAGTAAGGGCAGGAAACCTTAATTGAGGTTGGCAGTGTTGGCTTCGCAGTTGGGGGAAAAGAAGCTGGGCTAACCCCCCCCTGGTCGCTCGTCACACCCTCAATTTAGCCATCTGCTTTACCCTGGTGGAAGTACCGTGAATCTCAGGCGACCTACACAGGCAAGTGGATGTGGTTGTTCAAGGGTACTCTCTCCAGGTTGCCTTGCGGTTGTTTACAGGGAAACCCAATGACAAACAACAACTTTGGGAGTTCCCCTACTGCATTTGGAGACAACCCCATATCCGAGACTTTATACTTTTGGGGAGACCAGTTTAGTGACAAAAACAAGGTTTGCTTGCTTTTTGTTCGGCCGATGCACTAAAAATCGGAAGTGAGCTTTATCTTGGAAGCATGGGTTGCTTAAAACATAGAGGGCCCTGGTTTACCTGGTTCAGTCATCCAGGGCCCATTTTCCAAAAGGGACGCCTATGGCTTGGAAGGTCTTTCCACTCCCGCAAAAATACTGTGGATGGACATGATGGACGAAATCCAGCACTACTCTGAAACCATGGAAACCCTTGTTTGTTGGCATTTACAGGGGAATCGACTCCTTCCAGGGTTTCCTAGGTGGTGCAACATGGATTTCGTCCGCAGAATCTCACTGACCAAGAGCACATGAGCCTTGCCTTGCAGGCAGAGGATGCCGAGAAGACCGCGGAGAAGCCGACGGCCTCAGACACAAAAGAGGGAACGGAGGGGTAAGCGCCGGTACAAGAATGGTGCACCCAGACTCATGCTTTAAGAACTATTTATGGCGGAGATCCGCAGCTATTTTAGGGCGAGGGGATCTTTTTTTACTAACCTTCAACCCGGGGTTTGATTGTGGCTCAAATGCGTCCCAAGGGTGGAGCCTCGATTTTTGTTGGCCGTACTTTTTGTTTTCATTTGAAACCAAGAGGATCCCTTCAACCAAGTTTGGGGGTCTCTGTAGGGGACACCCCCCAGGATTGGTGTGTTCCTCCTGGTGTTCCTTGATTCTTCCACGATGATGAGGACATGTGATATGTGGTTTACTAGTTTCCATCAACCCATACCAATTATTTGGGAGATAGCCATGGCTTTAGGGGAATCATGCGTAGTTGCCCCAGCTACAGAAATGGTTGACACCTGCCTACTGAGTAGGGTGCCGTTGGGTGACACTGGATTGCACAATTCCTCCATGGTTGGTCATCCCCGCTACTTTCCCACAAGTGAATTGTGCCATTTGCTTTCACCCTGGTGTAAGCATCCAAATATGGGGCCTCATCTTCTTGCTGGTGCTCAGTAGGGGATGTGGGAATGAACCCAGAGATTCCCTTAAAGGAAACCACCGGTTGGATGGTTTGTAATTTCTCATTCCCTACTGAGCACCAGCAAGAATGTGTTACATCCCTTTTTGATATTTTCAGAAAATGTTCCCTTCCCTTCAGTTCATTCCATTCCCCAGTCTCTCCAAATACGGGGCCTTTTCTTTTCGGCTCTTTGTTTCGGGCCGGTCGATGTTGCGCGGACATTGCCAGCTCAGGGCCTTGAAGCGAGCTGAAGACGCCCAGAAGCAAGCGGAGGAAGGGAGCGGCGGTGGGAGCGAGCGCCCAAAACCCCGAAAGGGCCCTGTGGCACGGTTCTGTGGACCCCCTAGTTGGTTTTTCTTCTTCAATCACTTCAATTTGTGCTTTTGGTCGGAGTTGCAAACATGAACAAGTCGGAACAATCGCGGTCTCTACCTGAGTGACACAGCAAAAGCTTACATGGATGGCCAAACAAATGGTTCAGTTTGGACCCCACCGCCGGTGCCGCCTTTAAAGGTACCGAAAAGAACCCTTGTTGAAGCCTCACATTAAATATGCTGCAACCAGCTTAGAACCCAAAGTCAGTGGCTTTTGAGCGCTGCGATTCTTTTTGGGCACTGTCGTGTCACATGTGGTGTGGTCACGGGCTACTAGGCATTGTCATTAACGCCATCAGAAGATTTGGGCAACCGTGTTGGGTGCAAATTTTGATTGTGGTCCATATCTTGTTGCAGAGTACGTTTTGAGATGTCTTACCCCACTTTAGTTGGGAGTTGGTCAGTGATTGTTTGAGGCCACCTTGCGGAATTCCAACAGCAATTCAAAGTCCATTTGGGGATTCCACATCCCATCTAGGCACACAAGGCACAAACGGCACTTGAACACTATCCAGAACAGTCCCCGTTGAAGAGAGCATTGTTAGGGTTACTCCCCGCCTCTAGACGAAGATCCGAACGATATGGTTGTTCCATCGGCTTCCGTTTTGGAGTTGCCAGATGTTGATCAACCTGCGCCGATTGGGTCTTGGGGAGCAATCCTCTGCGTTCATGTTTGGAATCGCGGGCTGGATCAAGGGAATCGCGGATTCGCCCGCCTCTCTCCAAGATGGAAGGGTTGATTTCGGGGTTTTCATATTTAACTTCAAGTGTAGACTTAAGGCCAGCTTCTCCGGGAAGTCAGCTACCCCTTGGTTTGGGTCTTCCTTACTCAATAAATGGAACGGTTCTTCCATGTGCGCAACATGTTTCACGTTCCCCTGGATTGAAGACACTACAGCGGGGGGTGGTTTCCTCCTTACCCTGAAGTCCTCTGAGGCTTTTTTTTGAGTGCACCGAGTTGCGCTGCTGTCAAGTGAGAGCTCATGAGGGTATGCCTCAAAATGGGGGACCCACAAAGTCGTGTTGTTTTTCATTTACAAACCCAGCTTCAGAGTTGGTCGAGTTGATCAAGCGAGTTTGCTTTCGATGAAGCCCGTGAAATCCAGGTATTTGTCCACTCCAAGAATTATTCTGCCTTCCACCTGAGTACAAAGTAGTGGACCTTGCAGGGAATGTATACTCTTGTACTTTCAAGTGGAGTGAAGGGTGACTGTATACAGTCACGCGCCAAATCACGTCTGACATGCCTGTTGGGGGGAAGTGGGAGATCTTCAAGTTTGGAGCCCCCAAAAAAAGGCAGACACCCCGCCCCCCCCCCCCCCCGAAAACAAGAAGAAGTTCAAAATCAGCTACCAAAAACACGATCTTTTTTGCAGAGTGCGAAGTCTCACTTTTTTCACAATGGACATCCACTAAAAAGCGGTCCGGGCTACTCTGCGCCACTGCAGCGGATTTCACGTCAGGAGCTCTTGAAGTCCGTGGAGGAGAAGCGGGAAGCCCCGAGGAAAGTGGTTGGTTCGATGTGCGACGAGCCCAAAACCGAAGCTTCTGACGTATCTCGATGGACGTTATTTTATGTCTTGTTTCATGTTTGTTGTCGGATGGTTCGCAAACTGTAGACCAGAATCCCGCAATCCATCTTTTTGAATGGTGGTTGTGCAAAGGCTGAGGTGTTGGCGAGTTTAGAGTTCTACCTGGCTCAACGGGGATGACATTGAAGCTTGCAGAAACCTCGTGTGACCATGTTGGTAGCGCCAAATGAGCAGCGCTGAAGACCCCGATTGGCAGGTGGCTCTACCTGGTCTAATTGCACTCGTCCGTACATTAGGGGTTTCTCAATTTAGGGAATCCCCTGAAAGCTCAAATAGGGAGCCCCTTGAAAAGGAAACCAGGCACCTGGAGGGGTCCCCACGTTTAAGCTTTTTACATCCATGTTGGCAGAGCCACATGCGTTTCTGGCGCGTTGACGGCCTTCTGACACCTTTGGCCCAAGGCCTACACGACGCGGTCCTCTTGTCTCAGTGGGAAGCCCTATAAATATACCCCCAGTTGGTAGTCAAAGGGGTCCCTTTTTTAGTGGGGATTCCTTTTTTCCAGAAAGCCGCTGATTTCCAACTGGGAGGTTCATGAATCAGAGGTGCACATCAAGGGGTGTTCTTGGAAACCCGCCATTCGGAGTTTATTAAAAGTGCACTCCCCGACCAATCTTGGAAAGCCAGGAATAGTAAACTGGTTGATCAATGAGGAGATGTTGCGTTTGTAGAGGGAATCCTTACTTGGGGAAACACCCACTACTGTGGATGGCCGAAATCCTGCAGCTCCTAAGAATCCCTGGAATGATGGTTCCCCGTTAAATACCAACAACCAACGTTTTTCCATGGTTTCAAAGTGGTGCGATCGGAGTTCGTTCAAAGCCGCACGAGCAAAAGTGATGCCCGCCAACGGTCCTTGATACTTGCTACTGCCATGGCTTTGGCCTTGACTTGGAATCAAAACATGTGATCCCCTAGAATGGGTGGTTTCCTGTTGCTGACCCTAAAAAAACCGCAGCCAAATGGGGGTGCACTATGTCGAAAAAGCATATGAATTAATACAGCAGGTATCCGGGGTAAGCTACGACTTCAAACATGGGATTCGCGGATTCGGCGTCCGAGGGCCTACTCTGCGGCTAAGACTTCAGCAAGGAGACGGCAGATTCAAACAGCGCAGGCACTGGCGTGGGAGGCATGAGGCAAAGTTGTTTTTTTGAGGGAGGACTTTTTGTATTTGTTGGTTTAAAGGGAAGCCATTTGTTGGGGTCTCCCATTCCCATTTGAAGACACACCCACTTCTTAACGGTGCCAAATTCCAGTCCCTAATCAAGTTTCCCTGCTTGGTTGTTTTGAACATCAGCGGTGTTTTATAGGGCCTTTGGCAGTGAGTTTGCTCTGAGAGATGTTTGAAGGCGACATTTAGGGAGCCTTTTCATTTTTTTGCGGATTCGGACATGTACAATCCGAAGCTTCGCACGGGATGCTTGGACCTCATTTTTTTTGCCTGGAGCTCCAACCAGACGCCTCCAATGGAGGGTCCAATGATGCTTAAGGAGGTACTTTGCCTTTTTCCACTCAGAAACAAATTCCGCCTCAAAGGCCTTCCTTGGTGGACCGCTCCAGCTTTTGGGAATTTGACAACCCTGCCTTGTCTTATTTCTGCTCCTTGTTCATGGTCTGTGAAATAGCTACATGTTGGACAGCAAATGTATCCTGCTGCACCCCCCATTTTTTAGTTTGCTTCAAATTCAGGGATTCCACCTCAAGCGCAACACACAGAGAAGTGGGTGTTTTCTTGACGCAGTCCCTTGAAACCAAGGTGGGCGTACCCGTAGCACATTTTTTTTGTGTTAGGTACACTATGTGGTTCGAGCCATGCAAATGTCTGTCCAGGACAGACATTTGGCCATGGGTCATGACCTATGGCGAGCCATTTTGGGGTGGATGAACATCCATTTGCTACTATTTTGATGTTCACCAGGGGTACAGGGCTTTGACCCACCATTTAGGCTAGGGGTTGATTCCCCATTCTTTTCAACCATCGTTCTTTTCGAAAACCAGCTGTTTCCCCATGTTTTTTTTTTGTGGTTTTCTAGAAAGAAGGATCCCTGGGTTCAGAATGGAAATGGAAGCTACCCTTAGGTAACAAAGGGCGGCTCCAGCCTCACTCGACGACTTTTTTCGCCGCCCAACCGACGTCGTTTTTGGGTCTGCGGCAGAGCAGGAGGGAGTTGGAGCGCTTGGAGGGCGAGGCGGGCGGGTTCTACCAGTCCTACCTGGCCAACATGAAGCCCGGGGCTTGGGGCAGGGACTCGCGAGCTTCAGATCCATTTCCTTTTGGTTCTCACTGCCGGAGTTCCTTTTTTTTGGGGGGGAAGACCAAACTGTGGTGGTAAAGAAACAAGTCGGGCTCTTTTTTGGGCGCACCCACTCAGGAAGTGAGGATTCTTGCGGGGTTGTCCTTTGTAATTCAACTACCAAACGAGAGTGCCGAGCCTGGGGTTCTGGGAAATCAAGCTGGACCTAAAAATGGAGGCCCACGGCGGAGGGTGGCCCACTCGAGTGAAAATTGGAATCTCTTGGGTGCGTCATTTGCAACGTTTGGATTTGCTGTGCGCATGGGGGGGGGGGGGTCTGGAGTTGGACCCCTGGGATGGACTGCTTCCCAAAAAAAAGGGGGCCCTTCTCCACCAGTTTGAGAAACACTCAACTAATTGGGGAAGCACGTCTAGTTTCGGGCAAATTATATAAAGCCGCGCAAAGGACGTTGGCGACTTCAAGGATTCTTTGGTGTTAAGCGTGCGCTAATTTTCAGTTCAACGTCATCCCAGAATGGTTGGGGGTAAAGGTTCAAGAGGTCAAAAAGCCAAGTGGTGGCTTGCAATTGGAAGCCCTGGGTGCGCCAAAGGCGTATCGCACATGAGCAACAGTCGATGTCGAGTGCCATTTACGCTAAAGGACGTCGTCTATGGCAATACAGGCACACTCGCCAAATTTCCACCCGGACATGGCGACAGGGGGGGAGCTCGCATGAACTTGTTTTAGGAGAGGGGACTTTGGTCCGGCTTGGCCGCCTGGCCGCTCTTACACACCCGACCAGGCTACACAGGGGTTCCCCTACCAAGTCCAAGTCCAACCAAAACAGAGGTGACCCTTTACCGGTCAGGAGGGAAGGTTTGGGGCCCAACAGAGTCGGAAGGTATCTTTTGCCCTTGAATGTCATGACAAAGCATTGCCTTGATTCATGGAGCCGCTCTTTTTCTACCCAGACATGTTGCAGTGCGCTGGTCGAGGCTGAGGAATGCGTTTTCAGGCGCCATTACCATGCTTCGGGGTCGCCCTGTTCTGATTTTCTCCTTTGTCCAAAACCCCCTCCCCCTACGTTCGCACTCATGATCAGCTCCATGCAGGACCTGAACCACAGTACAAGTGAGCCAGAATCAAAACCCGGGTAGATGAAGGTTAGTAAGGGACCCCAGCCAAAAATAGCAGCGGCCGCCTTCTTAATTTTCTGCATGGGTTCTGGGCTCACCATTTTAATACCGGGTTTTGATTGTGGCTCAAGTGCCGATCGCCGTCCCCAAAAAGACAGCCGACCGCTGCCGCAACAGCCATGCCATCGGCTTGCTCGACCTGGGAAGCTGAGGAAGTACAAATGGGTATGGGTCAAAATTAAACCACCATGGGACCACGGGTTTAATCCATGTTTCCATTTATATACCAGGGTTCCCATTTTGGGTGCAATTTTTTGACCCACTGCCAACTCTGAGCACTACCAGAAGAAGAGGAAGAGAGAGAACGACACCAGCAACCAGAAGCAACTCCAGGTCTGGCTGCATGCGCTGTGCCTGCCCGATATAGTCACAAGAGACATGTGGCGTATTGATTTGTGCCACGATCCCACTCTGATACCCGCAAAGTTCAGGAGCGTAAATGAGCCCCGCCTAAGTGAAGCTGATTCTATTTTGGATGTATGTTAGACATGTCTCCAACCATGGCAAAGCAAGTGGACGACCCTGTTCTCAGTAGGCGAAGCCACCTTTGCGGATCCTTTCCGGTGCTTTTGGACCTCTTTGGTCGTGCAGGGGGAGGGGGCGTTGCTGAGGGGGTTGGAGTCTGGACATTTGTGGCACACTGTCAATTTGTTCGTGGCGTTACTTGCCCAGTCATTTTTTCGGAGATGGTTGATGATTTGTGTTTGTGGGTCCAAGGCGTAGACGAAGATTGGTGTTTGTCTTTTTGGGATGGTCGTCCACCACCGAGGATCTCCATCCTCTTGAAAGGGAGTTGGGAGGGGCGGGGTCAACCTTGAAATTCCGTTTATACTTTATGTTCCCTTGGGACGGGAAGACTAGAATGGACTTGGGGGACCCCCCACCTTCTCCCTCAAGATGGGGAGGATGCTGAGGAATGGCCTTGTGATTTCGAGGATGGATAAAAGCCCGCAACAGAGATGGGTAAAAAACCCGGTGAATGGGACAAGCCAACTACCCAGTCCAACAATCATGGAAGCTGACGATCGGAGGGTCCTGGAAGACTACAGTCCTCTTGAAAAGAGGGTATTGGACTTTGTGTCACTTGTTGGGAAGACTATTTTGGCAGCAAGCAAAAATGGTTTGGTTGCTTTTCTTGGCCCATGCACACGATAAGTGAGTTTTTTATTGTTTGTTCTTGTTTTTTTTTGGGGTTACCCTCAAAAGAAGACCAGCTATTCCTTTCCATACGGTGGCTCGTCTTTTTTCTGGAGGGCACCGTGCTTTTCTTTCTGTGTGGTGTCCAAGGAAGTTTTTTTCTCGGGGTAGCATGGGGTAGCCCTCAAAACAGGACGCATGGCGTGAGGCTGGCGCGTGTGCCCGAGCTGGACTCCGCCGCTCAGGCATCGGAATCCGAAGAGCCGATCCGATGGATGCGAGTCGGTGAGAAAAACGTCGGCTGGATGCCCCAAATGGGTGTTGCTCAAAATCAAACAGGAGGGGTTACGCAGGTTTTGGTCCAGGTGTCCACTTACCAGGGTTCTATTTTGGTACCGGTTTTTTGAGCCACTTTTGGTACCGGCTGTGGTTGTCAAAACCAATGACCATTTTGGGGTAGATGCGCCCATGCTAGTCTATTTTAGTGGGGATTGGGATGTTCACTGGGGTACGGGCGTTTGACCCATGACCAAATGGGCGGCTGGCTCATCTTTTTGGAGGGTCCCCTGTTTTTCGGATGTTTGGCAGTTCCTTTACGATTGCACACTTTCTGCATTCGGATTCGTGGCTTCTAGCAGGCTTTGAGGGTTCCCTTTTTTGATGGTTCTAAAGGGAAACCGCAGGGAACCCCACCCAAATATAGAAAGTACGAGAACAAAGAAACCGTAGGAACCCAACAAATTATCTTTCTGCGATTTACTGTTGGATCAATATGATATGAGCCCCCCCGCCTGCACGGTGCCAACAGTCAATTGAATCTGGACAATTTGGGGTTGGGGTTGGGTTGGACTTGGGATTGCCAATGCTAAGACTTTATCTTAGATTCCTTGTTCTTGATTTAGAATTGTCAATTCTAAATTCAGCATTTCCAAAACTGGATATCATATTCCTTGTACTTAAATCTAGACTTGCATAACATGAATTTAGTATTGCCAATAACCAATCCCTGACTTTCAATATTGAATGTAGACTTACCAATTTCAAAACTTAAACACATATCCCTGGCACTTATTTCGGAATTCCAAGTTCTGAATTTAGTATGCCCAAGTCTTTATCTCAGATTCCCAGATCTCAGATAGACCGCGGCTGAAAAGTAAAGGCGACCAAGACATTCCCTCCCCCCCACGCCCTGGCAAAAAACAAGCACTTAATTACCTTTCAAGAAAACATCGAAGCAGTCAGAGTCAAGCGGATCAGGTGCTCTTGTGGGGTACCACTGGTGCAACTGGTTGGTCTTGCTTTTTACATTTGGGTTGTGTATGACAACTAACGAACCACAAATTCCTAGGTCAAACGCCTTTAGCAGGAAAGGCCTAGACAGTGCAAGGCTAAGGCAGTGTTGTGGGAATTTCCCAACCCCCAAAACATGCTTGCCATGTTAGGCTGTTGGGAATGTTTCCAACGCACACGATGATGCCACAATCCTGCTTTAACACTGCTTGGGGGGTTGGAAGGTGCCAGAAACACCCATGGTAGGATGCTTCAACAAACCCTACGTAAAGTCTGGTCAAACCATCCAGTAGTCTAGTGTGAATTTCGGACATAGGGGGCACATGGGAGATTCATTTATTTTACCGAAAGCGTAGCTCCTGCCCAGGTAGTTCCCTGGGTTGCCTCAGACCTGAAGTTGTGCACCGTTTTCCTGATCTGGTGGGGGCTCCTTCTAAAATCAACTACCACAAAAGGAGAGTCCTTGTGATCCCCGGCACTGGGTTTTAGGCACCAAATACACGGGTAAACGAATCTGGGCTGGGGTTTGGGTTACTCACCATACGGGTAAATAGATCTGGGCTGATTATGTGACCCCTACAATCCCACGCATCATGGTGATGACCTACGTGAAAACCTCCAAATACTCCTGATCCGGAATTCCTCAGTTCCCATTTCCCATTTCAGGTATACACATGGGCATGGCCCGGCATGGCCTTCTTGAAAGAAGCCTCCCAAAATGGGGTGGCGTTTCCTCGTGGTTTCCCAGAAAAAAAAAAGAAAAGAAAAAGAAAACGCAAAAGAAAAACGAGAACAAAAAAAACAAAACAAGGTGCACCAACTCCAAAAAGCGGGAGCTGGTCATTGCCTTCAGCCAGGCGGAAGCGGTGAAGGAGGCCAAGAAGCCTTACCTGGATGCTGAGCAGCAGGCGAATCCCCGGGGGAAAAAAAGCCACTGGGGTCGGGGAGAATGGAATTAGTGATGGAGGAAATCCGGTTCGCACCCCGAAATGATCTCTATGGCCCGGTGGTTGAAACCATGATTTGCAGGGGAAATCAAATGATTCGGTTTCTTAGGTCGTGCAGGATTTCGGCCATCGATATGGAGCAGGTTCTTTCGAACATCTGGCATGGGTTTCTTTGTACGGATGGGTTCTCCTCCAAAACTGTGTTGTTTTTGGTAGGCGGCCAGACGGGGCCTAGGCAGCGGGGGTTTGGGCGCGGTGGCTGGTTTTGGCCACTGCTGGACGTTTACAAGGGTCTCCCAAAAAATTGGTGGTATAGGATAGACCAAGTATGGAACAGAGTCAGACAATATCATGGGGCCTGGGGAGAAGGGACCAAGACTTGAGCCGATATTTCCTGGAAGTCCGCTAAAGGGTAAGTACTGCGGTTTCAGAGAGGGATTGATTCCTCTATTCTCAACCATCATTCTTCTGAAACAACGGCTCTTCTTCGTGACTGCTTGGAGTGTTGAAATGAAACTGCCATGTTTTGCGAATTGGAAGCTGCCACAAAGCGTGCTAGTCTTCATACGTTTAGAGCGCTTGGCTGGGAGTGGAGCTTTCAGCCACAAGCCGACGGAGCTCATCCAGTGGATGTTCGGCTTGCGCACTCCCGTGTCTAAGCGTGATGGTTTGTTGAAAGACCAGTTCAGCAATACGCTAAGGAAGCTGATCTCGGCATGCTGTTTTGGTGGGGTGCCCACTAAACATGGTCAACCCAGGAGGAGGGGTCACCAGGCAACTGGGTGGTAGCAGAGAGGCAAAGTTGGCTTTGGAAGCAGGGAGATCGAGGAGTGGTATTGAAGGGTACATATACACTGTGCCGCAGAACACTTCTGCGATTCTCATGTTAGGGCTGTAAGGTACAAGTTGTTTGATGTAAGAAGTCAAGGGCAGGACAGGAGAAGAGCATCTTGTCAGCCCACCTTTCGGTTTTCAACTCTGGGCTGGCAGGCTTCCCGGGACAGTCTACGCAGATCTCCAGCTCAATTCCAACTAGTTGGACTGTCTCATTCTTTTGGGGTGATCATCCTAGAACTGGGGACATGGCCAGTGGTTTGTGGCTCACTTCCAGCCAGTGCTTTATCACTTTAGTGACTAGGTGAGCAAACAGTCAGACCTTAAACGGGCCAATGTTTATTCAAGTGATCCTGTTTCATCTCTTTTCCCCTGGCCAGAGGTCGGAGTCAATGAACCAACTCAGGGTGCTCAACGATGTCCTTTTTGTTGGCAACCTCGCAGTCTCCCTTTCTCGGCGGGAGAAAATATATTGTGTTTCTCGGCGATTGGGTTCGGAGTGATTCAGAGTGACTTGGGGGAACCAAATCGCTTCTGACAAGTTTGTGGTAAGGTTGCCGATGCTCGATTGCAGAGTGACTGGAAGCTGTACGCGCCATCCATTCTCACGTGGAACCTGTCAGAGGGCCCCTGTGAGCAACACCCATCTGTTGTGTTAGGTGATTCTACTACTGTACCTGGCTTTGAGGGGGTTATAGCAAGGTATATAATCCTTTACGTCCATCATGTTTAGAACCACAGGTCAATGGGTTGCGTGACTGCTCACATGGGTGTATCTTTTTGTTGCGCTTGTGGGTTGGTTATAAAGAGGGAAGCCACAAGGAAAAAAACGCATTTGGTGGGCTCCGATTCCTATTTCGAGACAAACCCAAAGGATTCTGAAGGAGGGAAAGTTCTCTTAAGGCACTCGAGCCTGCGCGCAGGTTGAAGCTACCGTGGAGTCCTACAACA